AGATTTCTGGAGGACATAGGGACCCCTATTTCATAATTTTGCTTTATTCGATCTCTATTCTTCCACTCTGCAGAATTTGTTAGTTCAATCTCTAATGTTATGCTCTCTCTGCTTTTTCTCATAGTAGCTTTGCCTCGTCTGTTCCTGTTTGGCTGTGACACCATCCTGGAGAGAAATATCAGCTGTGCTGCTGCCATCAACACCTTTGTTTATGAATGTTGGAGATGTGCCTGTTTTTCCAGTGTCCTGTTTCTCTGACTGTAACTGGCTGGATGTGCTCTCTTCATCCTCTGACATGGGAGCATGCTAAGAGCTTGTCTGCCTGGCTGTGTGTTTCCTGGACCGGGCCGCCTTTTACAGTTGCCATTTGTATCTCTGCTTCTGTCTTCTTGAACCACAGTCGGCCTTGGCAGATGGCCGCTCACACTGAGCCTGGATCTGCTGGAGGTTTCTTCCTGTTAAAAGGGAGTTTTTCCTCTCCACTGTCGCTACAAGCATGCTTAATGTGAGGGATTGCATCTGAGTCAATAGGTCGATGCAATCAGCTGATCTTCCTTAGATAGAAAACTGAATCAATTTGACTGTATGGTCTGGTGAACTGTAAAGTGCATTGAGATTGAATTGGCGCTATATAAATAAACTGAATTGAATTTATGTAGGTTTTGAGTTAAAGGTAAAAAGGTGTCGGCAGACAGAGTGACCTCATATGACCGAATATGCCTGTTTTTCTCTTTCTTAGCGATCAGCTCTCCATCAATTAGCAGTGATTACTACCACACAGGGACTATTTAGGTCTCCCTCATAGGTTTAGCCCTTCAAAATAAAGGAAATAGACTAATTTCCCATCAAAAACTACATTTGATGTAACTGAGGATGCTGTAAGGTTGTTAAGTGGACACATTTCATTTCAGAACTTTATGGGAAGTTGGATGTCAGCTTTCATCTTTAAATAAAACAAATATAGTTGGAATAAAATACATAAAGACACGGAGAAGGATTGACAGCTACCTGGACAGCACAGCGGATTGTTACCGTGAAGGCTTGTTAGCTCCAGTAACGGCTAATGGTTAGCCATATATGTTCTGAGCCCATCATAAAACCCAGAGACTCTGTCTTTCAGTTACACCTTAATTACAATTAAAGCTTACCTCGTCTTCTGATAGTCCATATATAGGCTCGTAATTCGTTGCCATATAGCCTGGGGTCGGCGGCTTACCCACACAAACAAGCCTTTTTGACAAGCTAGCTGGCTAGCCTTTAACAATAAAGTCCCACTTTCCTCTCTCTGCCGTGCGGTGGTGGTAAAGTCCGCGGCGATATCTAATCCTGGGCATAGACCGGGGGGTGGATAACGTTATCAGGACAAGGATGGTTTCATCCGACAAACAATTTAGATGTACGCCAAAAAAAATAAAATAACGGTCGCTGTATCCTCGGTTTTCGACTGATACCGACCTCTTTTCTCAACTCTAAGCTGAAACGTCTGACTGTTGTGAGACTTTGCTTGTGTTTGACAGCTCAACCAATCACTGCTCGAGCTGGGGTGATTGACTTGGTCATTCACCAATGAGAATCCCCCAAATAAAATAAAATAAAGAAATAATAAAAAAGGCGTGAACATGGTTTTTAGTGTGAAAATTTTTCGATGCTTAAAAAAAAAGAAATTATATAAAAAGTTATACCGCTACATTTGGTCGATTATATTAGAATAGAATAGAATAGAATAGAATAGAATAGAATAGAATAGAATAGAATAGAATAGAATAGAATAGAATAGAAAATTCCTTTATCGTCCCACAATACAGCAGCAAAAAGATTATAGAAAAAATGGTTGCACAAATGTGGACCTTAGAAAATTGTATAAAAATAACATAATAGTGAAGAGCTAAAAATAAACAAATAAAAAATACTGTACTATGAATTGTTTTAAGAATATAAAAACTTTGCAAATGAAAATAGCAACAACATCAGGGATGTGCAAAATGACAGCAGCATGTTATTTAACTGACTAAGGTAGAAATTGTGCAAATCAGCATGAATGTAAGAACTTATTGAGGTTGTTGGGAACAATGGTGGTTATGAGGTCTCATAGCTGCTGGGAGGAAGGATCTGTGATAACCCTAGCAGCCATTTAGGTGCACCAACAGGTGCATTTAGGGTGCAGCAGTCTGTCACTGAAGGAGCTCTCCAGCTCTGCAACAGCTTTATGCATGGGGTGGGAAACATTATCCAACAGAGATTTTAATTTAGTTAGGATACTTATTATGGCTTATGATGAAAATAAAATGAACAACATTTCTGTAAGAAATGAAACACACAGAAAACTAATTAGACCTACAAAGACTGGTAAATATAGCACCTAAAAACATGACCAATAATGAAATCCAGATTAATAATTCTTAACATTTCAGGGGTAAATCAAATGTCATATGATGGTTTATGATTTGTCTTAAACTTAATAAATGAAGCGTGATAAACCATTGTGAATTGTTTTTTATTTAAATAAAATCATTAATTTATTCACAGATTTAGCACATCCAAAAAACTATATTTATATTGTCCTGTGAAATCATTTTTTTTCTTTTTGTTTGGTTGTTTTTGTTGTTGTTTTTTCTGTAACAAATTTACTTATACCCTGAGATAGTAAAATCAGGATGAGTCAGTGTAACAACTTCACAATGCTAATAATGTCAAAAAACTCTGGTAATGCTCATGGAATAGTTGTAGATTATGCCTGGGTGTACATTCAATAGCAATGACCTTAGAAAAGTTATTGCTGCTGTCAGGCAATCAGGAAAGTGGATTATCATGGCAATTTGACTTGGCATCAGTTTTTATAAAGTGAAATAGAACATTAACAAGGTAAAGTATATTTAGGAGTTAGTCACTAGTGGTTTACCGTTCTGCCGATTTACCTCCATGGTTAGGCCATGTAATGCTTAGAAAAATTAGAACCCTCTGCAGCTGGAGTGGTAAACTGATTCTTATATCATGCCACATCACCATGCCTTACAAAATAAACTCTATGATTTTTTTTTATTTAATAATTTCAGTTATAAAAAACACAATGCTCTGGTATTCTAAATTCAATCCCATTTATTATGCAGTTCTAGCCACGTTATACACTATAAAGAACATACGCCTCTATTTCCATGCTTCTTGGGGCTCAGATAAACTGCCACGATAGGCTGGATGTGGCCTGTAAGCCTTGAGTTTAGCTTTAATTTGATCATTGTATAGTAATGTATAATTTAATGAACATTAGCATTGGGAAAAAAAGTCTTATTTGAAACAGTTACGAGGAGACAACCTTTGCCCTTTGAAAAAAGATGCAACATAACTGTGTATTAACATATTGGAAGAATCCACAAAATGACATCATAATCCAACTGAAGAACCTTTTTCTTTTCTTTTTTTTACTGTCAAGGACATTAGAGGAGGCTCATCTAAGTGCCTTGCAGTAGAAAAAGCCAAAAAGTACTTCCTGGTCAAAACCCTTGCATAGAGAGAGATAAGTCATACAGTGTTTAGAAATCAACCCATTTGTCCCACATCCAATTTTAGCAAATTCTTTTATTTTGTTATTGGATTCAGGTACAAAACAAAACAAAAAAACAAAAACAAAAAATAAACATATTTTATAACTGTGTGTTTGTGTCACAAATAAAGCTTTTATTATCTTGTTTTATCTGTTTTTTATAATAAAATGTATAAAAGGAATTGATTGATTGATTGATTGATTGGTTGATTGATTGATTGATTGATTGATTGATTGATTGATTGATTGATTGATTGATTGATTGATTGATTGATTGATTGATTGATTGATTGATTGATTGATTGATTGATTGATTGATTGATTGACTGACTTTATTAATCTCACAGTGGAGAAATGTACCTGTTACATCAGCTCAAATAGTCAAAGGAGAAGCAGAAGGTGCCAAGGGAAGAAAAGGTGCATAGGATATATACAGTATATACAGTGTGTCCACATATGACAGCTTTTTTTTAATAGCAGGATTATTATACAGGGTTACTGCACAGGGTGTTTACATGGGCATTTATATGAATGAATATTTATATTTATATAAATAGTTATGGTGTCAAATATAAAGAAACAGGTTATTGCACAGGGTATCAAATAGAAGAAGAGTCTGGTTGCAGCAGGAATGAATAACCTGCGGTAGGACTCCTTTTTGTAAAAGTATTTCACTAAATGAGCTGCTCAGCTCCTCTACAGGCTGGTGCAGAGGGTGGAAGGTTTTTTCCATGATGGATGTAAGCTTGAACAGCACTCTCCTCTCAGCCACTTCCTCCACTGCGTCCAGACTGCAGCCTAGGATAGAAACTGCCTTTCTACCCATGTTGTTTACCATCTTCTCTAAAAGAATAAATTCAATTCATTTCATTATAATAACTAAAAAAGGTTCGTGAGAGAGTATTAATTAAATAATATCTACTCAACTGGGCAGTGTCTGCAGGATATGGAGTCATTTTTTAGAGGATCTTGGACAGTAATCGACGTTAGGTGGCAGCAACAAACCATTGGTGGGTCTGCTGCTCTACTTTAGTTAGCGGAGAAGAAGAAGAAGCCCGGAACGTTTTGGTCATACAGGCTTAAACAGTACATTATTTATAATGGGAAGACATCCATCAGGAAATTGTGAATTTTGTTTTCAAGAAGAGACAGTAGAACATGTTTTGTTGTTTTGTCCAAAGTACTCTGAGGAGAGAAGGAAATTAGAATATCGACTTCTAAAGAATAAGTTACAATTAAAAATATCAGATATGTTGGGATATTGCTCCTCTTCTGAATATTTACGTCATTTATTAAGATTTCTTAAGAAAACTAAACTGATAGAAAGGATTTAGTTTTTTTTTTTGTTTTTGTTTTTTTTAAGTTACGTCCTGATCCACACTCCTTACCAGTAGGTGGCGGTAATGCACACCAATAAGTTGCTTGTCAACCGCCATTAAACAAGAAGAAAGAAAGAAAGAAGAAGCCCGGAAGAACGAAGAAGAAGAAAGGCTCTTTCCGGCCCGGCAGCAGGCGCCCCAGCGCAGTATTATTTACATACACAAACCTGTGTAAGGGCTACCTGTTATCGTAAAGGGTTGGTTTTCATATTTTATTATGTAAAGTCCTTATATGTTAGAGAACTGTCGTTATTAGATAAGAACTAATAATGTTTCGATAGAGATAATAAATTAGATGCTAACATTAGCCTCGCGTGGGGAAACGTGCGTTCAGTTCAATTCAACCCAAAGTCCGACGGGTGTCCGCAGAGATGCGGTGTTACTATGAAGTGTTGGGGGTTAAAAGAGACGCCGGAGATGATGATCTGAAGAAATCTTATCGGAAATTAGCTTTGAAATGGCACCCAGGTGAGCTCCATGCATGTCAGCAACTCCTGTCTACCAGAACTGCATGTTTTAATTGCCTTCCTCGTTCTTTCCCCTAAAACAAAGAATGATTGATTTTCAAGCTTCTCCAAAAAACTTTCTGGGAAGTCGTGTTTCAGCTGCCTGAAATACTTGTGTTGGAGAAAGAACAACTCTTAAACTATACAGGCTTCTAATTGGTTAATTGGAAACATTAACAAATTAAATAGAATCATACCTGGATATTTAAGGAGCCTCACTGCTTCCAGGTGTAACAGGGTTGTAATTACTTCTGACTTACAGGGTCTGATGCATAGTGTTGTTTATTTTTGTGGCTGTGGAAGGGGCTAGTAAGGTTCACAAAGGTTTCCTTAATTAAAACAAAAAAAACAAAAAAATGGGCAAAAACAAAAGTCTTAAGAAAGTTGCCTGTCGTTATCCTGGCATTTACTTGGGTTATGTTAACTGGCTAATGTTTTGTGTGATTTATTGTAATTTAGGTAAATAAATGTTTGATCCTTTATAGGATAGTATGTTATTCCAACTATAAATCCCATGGTTTTGAATAGATGCATATATAGCACAATATGCAGCGTGGACATCTTTACAATTTAGGCTTTATAAACCTCTAAGCCCTCTCCTCCTCAAGCTAATTTTAGTGATCCAATAAATATAAAGTTGGTCCTGGACCACAATGGAAAAGGGAAAAGGATTTAAGGCTAAAACCACTAAGAAATAAAAATAACAACTCAGAAGCCTATCCCACGTTTCACACAAAAAAAATGATGAACAAAATGACTTAATTCTTAGTTTACTACAGAGACAAAAGTAGATTTGTTTGTACAGTTCGCATCCTGTTACATTTGTGCAAATTCAAGCACCATATTACTCAAAGAGATCGTCATCATACAGTCAAACATGGTGGTGGTAGTCTGGACCTGGATGAGCTGTTGATGAAATAATGTGTCTGAATTAAAAATACATTTGCAAAGAAGGATAGAAGAATTGCTCCACAGTGATGCAACACACACTAATTCTAAATGCTTGATGGAAGCTCTTAATGAAAATGTCTTTCCTCTGAAATTTGCAGATAAAAATTTGGAGAATGTGGAGGAGGCCGCAGAGCAGTTCAAGCTCATTCAAGCAGCTTATGATGTCCTCAGTGATCCACAGGAGAGAGCCTGGTGAATGCAGCCTTCCTCCTGACTATATGACAGTAAGCCTCACTGGTTCTCTAACCCACGCTGATGCTCTGATTTCCTGTGGGCCAGGTATGACAATCACAGAGAAGCACTGCTGAAAGGAGGCCTGACCGGCGACTATGAAGACGACAGCATCGACCTGTTGCAGTACTTCACAGTCACCTGCTACTCTGGATATGGAGACAATGAGGAGGTCTGTTTTTGTGTATCAGTTTATGCAGGCTTAAGGTTTATGTATTAAATCACTTTTGCTCAGACCAGAGGTGTGCAACCTTATTAATCCAAAGAGCCATTTTGCACTGTGTCCAGATAAGTAACAGTTGCGTAGAAATGGAAATACTACATGGCCTTTTAATAAAACACAACATAAATTATCTGCCATTGGAAATCTGTTGCCATGTGAAATGACCAACAGTTTATTTGTGCTTTTAGGTTCTAAAATAAAGAAAAACATGAAACATTTAATAAAGATGAAGCACAGAATTTAAATGGATAATCTCCAAGCTAATAACAAGAAAAAATTGATAAAATTGCTAATAAAAGCCTTAGACAGATTCATTGTCTTTGTTGATTATCTTTTCTTAACATCATTACGTTAACGTTTATCTCTCCTACCACAGTGATAGTTGTAATAGTCTGAGAGTATAAACTAACATAAGTGGCAAATGTTACCATCAAATTTTGTTTGACCTTGGCTGAAGAGCTGCATCAGAATGTGAATGAAGGAAAGAGATTTATCTGACAAATGTGAGTGACTACGTTTGGATGAAAAGCTGTTTACTCTGGCTACAAAATTCTTGGTATTTTTGCTTCTTTTTCTTTGCGAGAAATTTGAGAAACAATTAGAGAATATGAGCATGGATATATGATACAACCTCTTATATTTACATGAATCAGACCAAACAAAAGTCAGCCTTGAGGCGTCCTACGCTTGTTATTTTTCCAAGAGTTAAATACTTTAAATTTACACCTTTTAATTACACACCTTTAAATACTTTATTTGAGAGTGTTATGGGGGTTTAGGCAAATCAGCAAAGCTACATCTTTGCATTTTAAGTACAAAATGTTTAACAGATTGTATCGGCTTCTTTTGGCCCTCCTTTCCCATGCATTCTGTCTGTTGGCCAGCAGAGAGCACCATCATCCATACATCCCATCCTTTGTTTCTGCACTAACAGAATTCTCTATCATTGGCCTGAGTCAGTGTCAGCCTGCACATGTAGCTTTTCAATTTCAAATGCTAAAGCCAGACATGCAGGTCATAATGAAGGCTCCTGCCAGTATTTTAGACCAGAGTATTTGTGAAGAAGCTGGACATCTGACATCAGAACTCTGAGTCACTGGGTTTGTTTCTGTATTATTTGTTATTTATAAAAGTGTTTTAAGCATCAGACAGAATAAACCTCTGCTTTACTGTAGCTCACCAAAGAGGTGGAAAGACTTCCTCAGCATCAGCCAAATAAATTAACATGTCCAAGGTCTCTAAAAGGAACAGCAGAAGTTCTGCTTCTATGTGTGTTTGTGTGCGAGCCTCATCAGCTCCATCCCATGTTTTGGCTGGCAGAGCAATTAAACTGTGGGAAAGGAAATTGCTCGTGCCTCTCAGAACACTGATTTTTTTTTTCTAACTGCCTTTTCCCTTGGTGTGTTTTCTTTTTTTTTTTTTTTTCCTCAGGGCTTTTACGCCGTTTATAGGAATCTTTTTGAGTCCATTGTTAAGGAGGAGTTGGAGCACAGCAGGATGGATGATGAGGAAGAGGAAGAAGGCTTTCCTCCCTTTGGAGATTCTCAAAGCGATTATGATACAGTAAGACTCAGACGTCTGTCTCTGCTTCTCCCTGTGCTTCAGCCTATTTTTAACATTATTTGAAAATCTCACAGTGATACTAAAAAGGGTTTACCAAAACCACCTTTCAGATTCCTTCTGGTTAAAAAAAAACTTTAAATGTTTTAATAAATAAGAGGTATTGTTATTTCAATGAGAAAAAACAACCTGAACTAACCTGAGCTTGTGTGGAAAAGTAATTACCCTCCCTAAATCTCATACACGGTCTTGCAGCTCGTGCTGACAACTCCCATTATACGTAACATCACAGTTTGCAAATGTTGGCCCAGCTTTGGAGGGTGTTTAGATATTAGTTGCCTGTGAGTTCAATCAGATTGAAATCTAAACTAGGGCTGAAATAATTAATCGGAATGATATGGAGTAATCAATTATTGAAATAATGGTCAACACTTTTAGTAATCAATTAATAATTACCTGGAGTATAGAGGCTCTAAAACATGGCTTTAACTGACAAAATGACCCACTTAGAGCAGTGATTATATATAAATTGTGAAATATATATATATATATATTTATATTTTGCATTTAAGATAAAAAAAAAAAAATCTTGTTCTTCAGTCAATATGCTCTCACCAGCCTCTTTTAGTGGAAAAGTTTAAGTTTCACCTGGTTTGATTTAATAAAAAGTCTTCCTTAAGGAACCTTTGGTTATTCAATTATTTATTGATTAATCGAAAAAATAATCAGCAGATTAATTGGTTTGTTAAATAATAATTTGCTGCAGCCCTAGCCTAAACTTTTAGATGCTTTTTATCCTGTGAGCCAGTCAGAGGTGAATTTGCTGGTGAGTCTTGATCACTGTCCTGCTGTATAAGCAAAGTGAACTTTTGTTTGAAATGGTATTATCTATTCTAACAACTCACCCAGAAAGATAAAACTAAAGATAAAAAAGTCAGCTTCCTGAAAGCTTTGTCAGGAAGCTGACTTTTTTATCCTATTAGCCTATTATTTAGCCTATTATTTAGTTGAAGCAGCTTTGCCAGCAGTACCTGCTTAATGTCCTCTTGGGCATATCTGACTCCTCGTTTTGAGTATTTCTCTTTGTGTTGTTTGTACATTCATCTCTTATGTTTGGCTTCTCCCTCAATTTACTGAATCAATGAGCATGTTCCAGTCTAAATCATGTCACTCGACTGAATTTGCAATAAACTGGCTTGAATTAATGAAACCTACTCCATCTCCAGAAGGATGATCAGTGCAAATCCAGCACACCGGAGCTGTGTCTAAAAATGTCAATATTTGTGTAGCTTTGATGATATAACATGAAAAGATCCTTTCACTTTTCATTATGGGGTATTTTTATGTTTTTTTTTTATTGAAATAAAACGAATTGTCAGGTTGGTTTTAGAATAAGTCTGGAATGCGACAAAATGTGTGCTTGAAGGGGTAAATACTTTCTGGCGTCACTGTGGCTTTCATGAAATCTATCAAAATGTCTTTGCACAGGAAATGTCGATGAACCAGTTAGAGAATTACAAAAAGCACTATTAATTTAGCATGCATAAGGTGCAAATGTGGGTTTTTAAATAGTCTGCTTTTCCATATTACAGGTAGTTCATGTGTTTTACGCCTACTGGCAGAGCTTTTGCACACGTAAGAACTTTGCGTGGAAAGAGGAATATGATACGAGGCAGGCCTCCAACCGCTGGGAGAAACGAGCCATGGAGAAGGAGAACAAGAAGACCAGGGAAAAGGCTCGTAAGGAGCGCAATGATCTGGTGCGACAGCTGGTGGCCTTTGTCCGTAAGAGAGACCGCCGCGTGCAGGCCCACAGGAAGCTGGTGGAGGAGCAGAACGCTGAGAAGATGAAGAAGATGGAAGAGCTGAGGCGGCAGCAGAAGCTCAAACAGGCCAAGTAGGCTGAGAATAAAGTGCTGCCTCAGAGGCAGGCTGCTGTTCTAGATCCTTCTCGGTTTAACTGCGATCTGCTTTTCAATCCAAGGCTAGCAGAAGAGTACAAGGAGCAGAGCTGGGCCGCCATGTCCGAGCTGGAGAAGGAGCTGCAACAGATTGAAGCGCAGTACGGCGAGGAATTTGGAGACGTATCTGAGAGTGAGGAGGAGGAGGCGGATGACGACACATCTAAGAAAAGCAGCGAAAGAGATGGAGGTAAGGAAACCACAAGCTTCCCTGTGGTTTGCCTCTCCGTTATATAAGCTGTGCTCAGATTTAACCAAAATATGTTCCTAGTTATGCTGCTGTGGTGATGGGTTGAAATAAATGTTCACTTCAGGAATTTCTTCATATTTCCCCATCTTAACTTCCCCAAATAGATTCAATTAGTTTGTAAAGATCAGAAAAGTTATAACATCTTTACCTTTAAGCAGGAACAGATCAACATCAAAGATTTCAGAAGACATCATTTTACTAAGAGACAATGAATTCTGTCCTGATGCATATGGAGGAATATTAGTGCTGCAACCGAATTAAACTGATGCATTTCTATTTATTTTTATTGATGCTTGCTTCTTTTTTTCCTTATCCCAGGTACTGAATTAAACCTTTACCAGAAAATTAACAGATTATATGTTTTACAAACAGGTTATGAGGTTGTTTTATGTTTGAATGTTTTATTTATTTGATTATTTTTCCTCTTTCATATCTTCATTGGTTTGCAGTCTTTCAGTTTTGATCATTTCTAGATGAATGGTTTTGGTGGGACATTATTAAGATACCATAGCAGAGGACATGGCATGTAAACCAATTGGGGGGTGGGGAATCATGCTGATCTACCAGGAAAAGGCAGTAGAATGTAAATAGGGAAAATAAGGAAAGGGGGTTGAGATGTTGAATATATAATCTGATTTATGTTTTATGTGATTTTTTTTATCATCACAATTTATTAAAATACTCTAACTTCAGTCAGACATGCTGTAAGACAGTCCACTACAGGACATCCATCTTGCCTATCATGATCTACAAGAACTAGTTAAAGAAGCCCCCCATAATGTAAGGTAAAAAAGCAGTTATTTTCCATTAGGTTTGAAAAATAATTTCTGAATCGATGAAGCAGGAGTTCTGAGCTGATAAGAAAAGTTTAGATGCAGATTGGTTTGTGTAGACCTATGAAGAGGATTGGCTGAAATTGGGGCTTGCTTTTACAATTTGGTCAGCGATCAATTGGTCGACCTGTAGCTTCACTCAAACATCAGCAAGAATCAAAACCTGCTCTGCGATGATTACAATTTTTTTAATGACTAGTGTTTGGATTATCTGGGATCCAGCAGCTAGAAACTTCCTCCACCTTCTGCTCCAACAGCCTTCGTTCTGGTTTTAGCCAAACACACAATAACATACCACATACAGTTGAAGTTTAAAGGCCGATGAAAAGTCCTGATTATTTCTTAACACGTATTTTTAAAGTTTTCAGTCAAACATTTATATCTGTTATTAGAAATTGAATTGAATTAGTTGATGAAGGTAATTTTGTTCTTGTTTTTCTTACAGATGCTGAGCAGCCTAATGACGAGGACGCTATCATTGACTATTTTGATGATCTTTATTGTCCAGCTTGTGACAAGTCATTTAAATCAGATAAAGCGTAAGTTTCCACTTAATCTTTACTCTCGTTCTCATCTTTCCCTCAGTTTAAGTGTATTTTAATAACAATGATCAACATTTAAGGTTGTTAAAAGCAGTAATTTGGAGGTTGTAGAATATTTTTGCTGCTGTGCAAAAGTATTCACACCACATTTAACTTTCTCACACTTTGTGAAACCTGGAAACACAAATGGATTTCATTGCGATTTAATGTGATTTCTATCCAGTAACCCATAGTTGCTTATTCAGAGGTAGGACTCCATCTTTATCATTAGTAATGAGCGAAAATAGAAATTTGAATCATTTTGAGGAATTCATTTGTAATCAAAGAACATCTGTGATCAAAACAGCATCACAAAGATCAAGGTACGCAACAGCAAGGTAACGTATCGGGACAAACTATTTAATATATTTTTTAGAAAACCCACTTTGCTAAACCAACAGGCTAAAAAAAGGACGGAGAACATGAGAAACAGTCAATCAATCAACCTTTATTTCTACAATGCTTTACTACAGCATCTGCTGAAGTGCTTTCCATAAGTGCAATAAAAACAGTTTCAACACAATAAATAAATATACATTTCACATGTCAGCAGTCAAAAAGAGATCTAAACAGGTATGTTTTCAACTTTAAATAGTGTCAGGTTAGTGATGGCTCATAATTCAAGAGGCAGAGTGTTCCACAGCCAAGGACAATCACCTGCAGACCGCAACGCTCTACTGGGCTGATGTGCAACAAGCAATTCACTTAAATAAGAAGGTGCAAGTCCATTAATTGATTTATAAACAAACATTATGAGTTTAAAATGAATCTTGGCATGTACTGGGAGCCAGTGTAGTGAACGCAGCACTGGACTGATGTGACTGCGCAGGCGAGTGTTTGTGAGCTGCAGCATTTTGCACCAGTTGTAGCCAGTTTAGAGTACATGGGTTGACACCCATATGAAGTGCATTGCAATAGTCTACGAGTTAATAAAAGCATGCATAGCCTTATTTAATTCATTCTAGTCAAGGAAAGGTTTGACTCTGGTTAGAAGACAGAGCTGGAAAGAACTCGCCTTAACAACACTGTCAACCCATAGGTCAATTTTCAAGTGTTTGTCAATCTTAAACCCTAAATTTCTCAACTGAAACAGCTGCATTAACGTCCATTTTCAAAATGGTAATAGTTAGCCTATTACACAAATGTAGCTATTACAAAAGTAAAGAGTGAAATAAAGTTTGCTAATTGTTTTTTATGAATGAAGTTTGTCAGTTCAGGTGTGATCAGTGCTAAACTTTTGGGCCTGTATGTTAAAAATGCAGCACATCTACCTGAACATACCATTCCAGTGGTAAAACAAGTTTTAGACAGCATCATGCTGTGGGGAGGATTTTCACCCAAGAGACTGGAGGGATGACGCAAAAGAAGGCAACACTGAGAGAGAACCTGTTAGAAGGTGCAACAAACACTCGGGCCTGAGAAGCAGGTTCAACCCTCAACATTGGAAGGATCTTTAGAGCCAAACTCTGAGGGTCCTCTGATCTCTGAAAAAAAGGCACAGATTTCAGTTATTCCAGATATTAGAACATTTTGACCAGATGTTGGAAGAAAAAGAACCTGCTCGGCCTTTAACAAAAAATGACTGAATTTCTCTAGACCAGGGTAGGCAACCCAACATGTTTAAAGAGCCCTATTGGACCATAAAAACAAATCTGTGTGGAGCTGTAAAAATGAAAAGTCTTATATAAGCCTCGTATGGCAACACACTAAAACTATGTGTATTAGCCCACTACAAAACAGGACTACGTGGGCTTGGATATATAATAAGCATTCATGATTAAATGTTTATCCTGGAGCAAATGTCACATCTTGTGACTATTCTGCTGTACGATATTCAGTGCTTTAAGTTTAAATTCCATAGTAGCATGAGGTGAGGGTGGAGCAGTTGGAGCTCTCACAGTTTGTATATATTAGGTTTTGTTGCGTAGATGAAATTATAATTTTGTGTTATTTTTTATTTTGAGGATTTGGGGAAAAATTGAAGAAAGTTGATAAACCTGCAGAGCGCTAGCTGTTCGATCTGTGGACGGTTTTCTATGCTTGCAACAAAAGTAGCAGCAGTAGTGGAAATTGGAGATGCAATCAACTTCTTGAATCTATCTTTGCTCTCCTCTAATTTATCCAGAAGTTCTGTAATCGCACTTTTTCTCTCACTCCCAACTTGGTGGTCGGCTGCATATTTAGCCTTCCCTGGAAATTACTTTCCAAATTACTCTTTTTATTACTTGACAACTTCTTGTTACAAAGCAAACATGCAGGCAATCCTTAAGCATTGGTAACAAAAGCAAATGATTCAGTCCATTCTTCTTTGAATCCTCTGTTCTCATCAGCTATCTTGACACTCATACCGCTTTGTTTACAACTGCCACCTGCCTGGCACCGCACTGTACCATGCTGAAACGTGTTGCAGGCTATGGCGCAAATCTTCCTTAACAGAAATGTTAAAATTTATTGTTTAAATTGAGTTATTCACAAATTTTTACAGCATCGGACAACACAGTGAATGTTTGTTTGACCTTTTGCACACCATATTAAAACAAACAAAAGATAAATTTTTTTTTCAATTTTAATAAAATTTTGAAAAAGCTCCGGGGAGCTGCAAGGAAAGCATTTAAGAGCTGCAGGTTGCTGACCCCTGCTCTAGAATGTAAAGTTCCTCTATAATTCAGATCAAATCAACTGTAGGAGCTTCAGGTTTTCACAATTTTCTACTCTTTTTGCTTATTAACAAGTCCAGTTATCACAGGGAATGTCTCCTGTATGCTTCACATTTACTGGGGCTTCTCTCATAAAAGATGTAATATAAAAAACTGCTACTAAAATAGTTTGATCATTGGGCAGCCCCTAAAAAGGTAAAAATGATAATGCAGGGTTTCTACAGGATGGTAAAAGGTAGGAAACTGAATCAACCCAAATTGAAAAGTAGTTAAAGGTAGCACACAGAAATTGATTTGGTAGTAAAAGTTTTCATCATCCTTTAAATTCATTCTGACTTTTCCATTGTTCATGATTTTTTTTTTTAGGTTTAAGTTAATTTAACTATACAATCTGTATAAGAAGTGTAACTACATATGGCAGGACCTGAGCTGACATTAATAGACTCGATTGGTTTGCTGGGTAATCTGCTGCGATCAATGCATGGTGTTGGAACCGCCTAATATAATCAAACTAAAAAATTATTTGAGTCACTATAAAACTTGATAAGTAAGTTGAACTGAACTGATCTGAGGAAATCGATTGCCTTTAAACATTTACGTTAATTAACTCAGACTTTTAAGAATCGAAAACCCAGTTATGTACATTCAATACTTTTAAGGTAACACAGTAATCTGTTTTATTCTGTAAACTGACCTTAAGACCATTTAGATTCCTACATTTAAATGTTTTATTTATAAAACACTTGTATGTTAATTGAATTTAGTAGTACTGAGCCTTGATGAAACGAAGTGGAGCTTTAACTCCTCTGTTTATCTATTAACAGTCAAGCTTTAGCATGGAAATCATTTTATTATACAATCCTGCAATTGTTAAGCGTAAAACACTCAACAATCCACTGTGTTGCAGCATTAAACAGCCCTCTTAATAACAACCTCACTCATTGTGTTGCAGTGGTAGCCACACTCATCAGCCAATGGGGTCTTATTGTCACAAGCCTCTGTTCCAAAACGTGCTCACAGACTGACGTAGCCAGACGTTTTGTATGCGTGAGAAGGCTTTAGTCCAGACATTTGCTTGATTTTGTAGTGGTAGTAAAAGCATTCCAGAGGTAGTAAAATGGGCAGTAAAAGGTAGTAAATTCAACACTGGGATAGTCATATTACGAAGTGTATGAGAAGAAAAAAGGGCTCAGAAAAGGCAGATATATCCCAGAATGCTTTGTGCGGCGGAGAGCTCTCCTCGTTGAGCAAAAAGCAGTGATCATCTGTCCGAACGATCAGCTACCTGAGTTTGCTGTAAATATATTCCCCGCTGTATGTGGACACAGTAAGCTTGTATGAGCGATGAGAACAGCACATTTTAAAGATGGCGTGCACGAGGAGATATGGGCTCGTGCATGCTCTTGCACAGGCATTTTTTTTTTTTAAGTGGAGAAGGTGGGTCTTTAAAAAAAATCCTCCACAATACCCAAAAGAATACCAACATATATTAAAGAGATGATAAGATGTGTGCATGAACCTGATTTTAACAAATATAGAGACATCAAAACCACCTAGTTTAGCTGCTACCCAAGTTTCTCATGTATTTTGAGTCAAATAAGCCTTTAACCCATTAGACCTGCAAAATTCCTCAGGACTCTGAAATGCCTGATTTCTGGGTAAATCTGTAATAAGTGGCCAATCTTTTTGAGATGCATGATTTAAATCTCCCCTCATTCTTCTGGTGATTTTAGAATTTAAGAGCATAAAGCAAAATTTGAAAGCTGCATGTAGTTTCCCAGCATTCAATAACCATGAGCTACTTTATGCCTTGTCACATAAAATGACGTAGAACATGGAACGGTTAAATTAGTAAACAGGTTCCTGAAATGATCTGATTAAGTTTTTGTTTGATTTGGATCCATTTTCTCTTCTTGATCCAATTTCTAGGTATATAATGTTGCTCTTTTTGTTTCTGCTGTGCAGCATGAAAAACCATGGAAAGTCCAAAAAGCACCGAGAGATGGTGGTGTTGCTGCGGCAACAGTTGGTGGAAGAGGATGAATCTTTATGCTTAAATGGAAATGAGGATGGAGAGGATGAAAAAAACCTGCAGGATGAAGAGGAGGAAGAGGAGCAACCAAGGCAAAAGTACTTCTGTTCATATACAGTATGACTGTTGACTGTGATGGTGATTTACTACATTACGCTTTTTTTTTTTTTTTTTTTTACCGGTAGTACACTATTGTCTTCCTCTTTATGTCCTTAGGCTTTCAAAAAAGCAAAAGAGGAAAAAGAAGCAACAGAGAGTTGTACAGGTGGGAAACTTTCTCCACGTATGCTGTTTGCTTGCGTCAACCTCCTGTTTTTAAAGCTGCTCATCAGACTAACTGCATCCCATTGATGCTCTATTTGAGCAGCAAAGTCATGTGGACGGTGAGGAAGAGGAGATGTCCACACAGACCACCTGTGAGGAAGAAGCTCCTGAAAAGTCAGAAAATCCTACAGAGGCTGAGAAGCAGGAAGATCCTTCTCCTGCACAAGTCAAAGGGTCAGTTTCTGAATTCTCATTCTAAGGTCTTGCCTATAAATGCATTCAAATTTGCAGCAATTACACCTAAATTCGAGGAAATGAACAGTGATAATCATTTCTTAGAAGATTTAAATCTGGTCTCAAAAATAGTTCCAACATTAAGTTTTTATCTTTCCTTTAAAATGCTATCTAAATTATGGCTGCGGTTTGCAATTAGACGTTTATCCGGCATGCATTTTTTTTCTTAGCAGCTCTGAGATGTCGAAAGGCCAAAAGGGGGGAGCAAAAGGAAAATCGAAGAGCGGCAAGTCACACACTGAACAGTTTCCTGAGGTTCGTACAATAATATTCCAGGTGTTTCCAAAGCTGCCTTTTTCTTCTTGTCCTCCTCTGAGTCAGACAATTGCTGTGATTTAAATGCAGTTTTCCCTGTTTGCCTTTCCAGAAGGAGCTAAACCTCCGCTGTGTTGCCTGCAATGACGAGTTCCCCACAAGAAACAAGCTGTTTGACCATCTGAAGACCAGCGGCCATGCTACTGCACTCTCTGCAAACGCTCCTCACAGCTCCACGAGCAAGAGCAGAAAGGAGAAACGCAAGAACAGATAACGAGCTCTCAGCAGGCTTGATAAGACTTTGACCTGACACAAAAGTATGAAGCATTGCTTCATACATTTATTCTACTTGTTGGATCTGGGCTGCTTTATCTGTCACCACGCATCAAGGAGATAGTGGTATTTTTTTTTTTTTACAATCTGAGATAGGTCAGATAAGCACCCTTCTCTCTACAACTTAAATAAGTGAGAGAGAAATAAGCTGTAGTTTTTAAAATAAAACTTTTGAACATACTTTGTCCAACAAGGTTGCTGTGCATGTGTGTTTACTAAATCCATAAACGCTTGGATTATTGAAAAAAAATGTATTAAAAACTAAAAAGAATCCATTTTATTTCATCATTTATTTCTGCAGAATGAGCTCCACGTACTGAATAAAAGATTAGTCACTTAAAGATAATAAAAGCTTTTTTTTTTTCAAATGTAAGTGAACAAAATTATGTTGATAACTGCGTAGGTAATATCAAAAGACGTGGCGATGATTCTTTCAAGGTTAAATTCCCAGCTTATTTTCTACACATGTAGCTAAAGGGATACTTTTAACCACAAAACCATTAGTGGGGGTTCAGATCTTTAACGTGCCAAAAGTATTCATACACAGAAATATTTCCACCAGTTAAGGAAAATTTCTATCACCTCTGGATATAAAGAAACTAAAACATATTATTCTTGGCTAAGTAGCTCAAGTTCAGACAAATGAGTAGAGCAGCTATGAACAGCAATAAATAAGTTTTGCCACAGATTGATAAGATTAAGGTTAGATAAAATACAATGGTATATAAATTATTTACAGGTAGGCATGTTCATTATATAAACTATTTTAAGTATGGGGGGAAAAATGGTATAATTGTACTTTTCCTTTAATCAGATAATTTTTACCACAAAAAGCAAAGCCACAGAGTTTTAGCATTTAAAATAGAGAGCGATAGTTTGTAGACCAAGTTCTCTAATGTAATGAAGTAGAAAAGGTGGGTCGGTTACAGAAACATGCTGAACCTCATTGGTAGACATAAAAAAGAAAAACTGATAACAGGAGACGCTGCTTTCTCAGACTATTTATTGCAGGAGTACCTAAATACCGTCGGCTGTGTAAAATGCTTTTGATGTTCCGTAAAAGTAAAAAAAAAAAAAATCCATTGGACTTGGTTTCCAAGATTTGAAGACGTTTTTTTTTTTTTTTTACTTTTACGGACTGACTATGACCGGGATGACTGAGAATCTTCATCAGCATAATACTTTTGATGGATCCAGCAAAAAATGACACGATGATGCTTTTTGCCAAGTGGGAACTGTAAGTGGTTAACAGCTTTATTGCTGCTAATTGTACTGTGATCCAAGGCCATAAATCGGGCGTTCTGCAAGGCCATACAGAACGTAACATTTTATTACCGTACACAAAAAAGTCTTAACAGTGGGATTTGGGAGGTTTTATTTTTAAGAAGATTTAGCTTGAAAGCAGAAATTTCATCAGTTTGCTGCAATTGCTTTTATTCTTAATGAGGGTGTTTATGATTTACACAGAATAAAATGGTATTGAATCATGGAAGTCACATGCAGGCATCAAGAGACCTAAAATATAGGTTGAAAAATGTATATTTGTGAATTTATATTTCATGATTTGAGTGTGAGCCAAATTATTTCTATAGCATTGTTTCATTTTTTTAAAGTTTACTTATAGGGGTCTGAAATGCTCAAAAATAAAATGTTATCTCAACATGTATGATGGTTCCAACAGATTATTTCTTCAAAAACAAATCACTTTTCTTTTATCCTAATCAATCTTCTCATAAATTCTACACCAGCTTCACTATCCCTGATTAAGAGAATCCTCCCCATAGCACGATGCTCTCACCACCATGCAATTAAGTCCCACTGGACCTGGTTTCCTTCTGTTTGTCAGTATTGTCCGGCAATGATTTTCTACTTAAATTGGCTTACTGTAAATGTAAAAAAAAAAAAACATTTCTCCATGGCTTTAAAAAGAAAAAAAAAATTCAACTAAAGAGGAATTACCATTGCAGGAAATTTAGGATTGCACTTGCAAACATGCATATTTCTTGCGTGTTTTATAATTTTAAACAAAATGTAAGTTGTTTGCTAACTGTTGCCCACTTGACACTTCTGCAAGATGGACATTTTCAATTCCTTACCAAAACACTGTACAGTTAAAAAAAAAAAAAAAAAAGGAGCTTTGTCTGCTCCTGAATGCAGGCAAAACAGAAGTTATAGTCTTTGGACCAGAGTCCTTGAAAAAGAAGCCGATTAGCCGGTCACTTCATTTGGATGGGATTAAACTGATCTCGAATAAAGTAAAACAAATCTTAATGTTTTTTTTTTTTTAGTAGGACCTGTCATTTAAATCCCATATCAAAGAGGTTTCTGGAATTTCCTTCTTTCATCTGCGGAATATTGTGGAAATTAGGAATCTCCTGTCCAGGGGTGATCCTGAGAAACTAGTCCATGCATTTGTTACTTCAAGGCTGGACTATTGTAATTCTTTACTATCAGGAAGTCCACAAACTGTAGTTAAAAGCCTTCAGCTGATCCAAAATGCTGCAGCCAGAGTTCTGATGAAAATTAAAAATAGAGATCATATCTCTCCTATCCTGGATTCTCTTCATTGGCTTCCTGTTAAATCCAGAATAGAATTTAAATCCTCCTTCTCACATATAAAGCCTTAAATGGCCAAGCTCCATCTGATATCAGAGATCTGATTGTTTCTCATGTTCCTAACAGAGCACTTTGCTCTCAATCTGCAGGTTTACTAGTGGTTCCTAGAATTTCTAAAAATAGAATGGGAGGCAGATCTTTTAGTTATCAGGCTCCTCTCCTGTGGAACCAACTACCAGTTTTAGTCAGTGAGGTATCAAAAACTTTCCTTTTTTATAAAGCTTATAGTTAGTGGCTCAGGTTATCCCCAGCATCTCTATAGCTGCTGCTATAGGTTTAGACTTCTGGAGGACATAGGGACTAGCCTGGGTGCCATTCCAAACTTAGTCCCGCCCACAACGTTTGAGGTCGGGAAGTTTGGTCTGGCATTGCTCAATAGTAGCGCGAGTATGCTCACCCAATATCTGGCGGGCCAATCAAATTGTCAGGGCGGGCTTTATACGATGATGGACAGATGATCAACAGTAACGTAATCAACCACGTCACCAAAGCGAGCTTGGGTGACAACAACAATGGCTGCCACTGGAGAGTTGAGGTGTGTAGATTCTGCTATTAGGTCTGTTCTAGAAGATATCGACAGCAAATTAATTTTAAAAGAGGAACAGAGAAACGCGATCAAGGCTCATCTTCTTATTCTAGGCGTGCAACTGCACGCTTTGATTTTTGTTGACAACAACTATGCGTGGCTTAACATACGTCACGCACTCCGTTGCTCTTATTGGTTGTAGGTCTATCCAATTGAGTGCAAAGGCATTTTTTTTCCTGGTTCGTTTGAAACACGCACGAAAAAATCACAGCTCTATGGAGCAGTATCAGACTCATATTCTGACTAGAATTGAGTAGGACTACGTCAGGCTACAAAGGGACCCCCATTTCATCATTCTGCTTCATTCTCTCTCTATTCTCCCACTCTGCAGAATTTGTTAGTTTAATCTCTAACGTTATGCTCTTTCATCTTTTTCTCATAGTAGCTTCACCTTGTTTGTTCCTGTTTGGCTGTGACGCCATCCTGGAGAGAAATATCAGCTGTGCTGCTGCCATCGACACCTTTGTTTATAGATGTTCGAAATCTGCCTGGTTTTCAGTTTTCTGAATGTGACTAACTGTATGTGCTCTCTTCATCCTCTGACATGGGAGCTACTTCAGAGCTTTACTGTCTGGCTGTGTGTTTCCTGGACGAGGTCGCTTGTGGAGCTTGTTGACAGCTAGCTGCCTTTGTTATCCCTACTTTGTTTTTTTAAAACCCCAGTCAGCCTCGGCAGATGGCCGCTCTCACTGAGCCTGGTTCTGCTGGAGGTTTCTTCCTGTTAAAAGGAAGTTTTTCCTCTCCACTGTCGCTACCAGTATGTTTGGTGTGAGGGATTGTCTTCAAGTCACTGACACGATGCAATCAACTAGTTTTCCTTAGATAGAAACATTTGAATCAATTTGAGTGTATGATCTGGTTGAATTGTGCCTTGAGATGACATGTTTGGAATTGGTGCTATATAAATAAACTAAAAAAAAAAGGTATAGTGAAGATCTAAATATTCCTGATAGTTAACTGAAAAAGAAAGAATACTTTGCAGCAAAGTAAAAAAAATATGTAAAGACACAATAATAAATTTTTTGATACATTCTTATCGTTTAAAATGTCTTTTTAGCAGTGGTGTCGGCAGGAACACATTACAATAAATAAAATATGCAGGGAAAAAAATTGAAACAACGAATATGTAAGGATGAAAAAAAACATTTCATGAGCTGCATATTAACAACGAGAAAGCTTGTATGAAAGCCCAACTTTCAAAAACTGGCAAAATACATACTTCTTAAATGGTATATAGAGCTGGAATGTTGTTTATCCTATTTGAACATTTGGAGTTTGTAACCTGCAGCTGAACAAAAGTTAGATGCTGAAATTGTTACCTATAACAGTAGAAATCAAGAATTAGAACTAAATTTCACTACTGAGCAACAGAAACTTTCATTAATCAGTTGCTAACCTTGTCATTTAACAGTAGCTCACAGGTTAGCTTTTCAGGATTGGTTTATTGTCCAGAAGATGTTCTTGGACAAGATCCATTTTTAAATGAAATGTATTTGCTGATTTTGGCATTGACATACAACTTTTTTACACAAAAGAAACTTTAGTTGGAGCCAGTTTTGAACTTTAAAAGTAGTTATCTGAACAATTCAGAGTTTTGAAGTCCTCTTATTTGATTAAGCGCTGCACAAGTAAAGGCCATTTACCCTCCACTGAAAAGGAACAAAAAAAACTGTTTTGATAGAACCAGCAGAGGCCAGGGCCAATGTGATGACAATACGACTGTATTTTACGAGGTTTTCTCTTAGTTGGGTAAAAACCTTTTATTTCCATCTTATTAATAGTTTTGCAAATATAAAACCAATCTACTTGATGCTCTTAAACAAAGCTGTTAAATCTCGCTCTTTGCTTGCTTTGTGTTTTATACACACAACGGTAAAACTAAACTTCTAAAATATTTGACTTTCCAGGTCCAGCTTTAGAGAAATGAAAACTCTATTGATGTCTAATTAAAAACACAGTACACCGCCTTCCTTTACTTGAGGAAGGTGAATTACAGCCTGAATATAATAAGAGATGTTGTGAGGCTGAGTAGAGAAAAGCTGTAGAGAGGGTTCTCGCTCTCTCAGTTTACAATCACTTGTTATAACTGCTTTTGTTTCAGTTTACTGCTTATTATCACCCTCTGATTTTTATTTTGACCCATGGATTTTTGCAAGGTTTTCTATGTATTTTTCTGTTGTGGCACAAAGCTCTCGTAGAGGCTTGTTGCTATAAAACAGCTCTGAAAGAGATCCCTTTGAACATTTTAGCGGTTTCTGGATTCTGTGTTTTGGGTCAAGAACATTTCAATATCTGGTAAAGGGAACATGAGTGATGGCAGCATGTGCAGCCCCACAATAAATGGTCTGGTAATTTTTATTTATTTAAATGTATCACTTTATTTAAATTTTTTTACCTTATTGGTATTGATTCTTTTTTTACTTATGATTTGGCATTGATTTGAGTGGAAACATCGCTCATTATGCCCCATTTTGCTTTTATGGTTTACTTTAAACGGATTTCTTTAGTTTCCAGTTCCTGGGAGGTTGCCATGTTGGGGGAAGTTTTGGCCTTTTGGTTTGAGCAGTGCGCTTGTGCTCCTAATCAAGACCCTTAACCCCACACTGCTCCCGGGCACCGCCCAATGGCAGCCCACTGCTCCCCAAGGGGATGGGTTAAATGCAGAGTTACATTTCTTCTATGTGAGATCAGTAAAGTTAAATTGAATTAAAATTCAATTCAATTACATCTGGGTTTGGCTGGGCCAGTTAAGCAAGAGTCCAGCTAAGTCTCAGTGGCACTGAGACTTAGCTGGACTCTTCCGCTTATTTTAAAAGAAGTGTGGTAAAGTTTAAGGTTTTTCAATTTACTTAGGTTTTTTGATGTAATTAAAGTTGAAGAGTTTAATTTCTTAAATAATTTTCTTTCGGTTTGCTGATTTTGTATTGTATAGCTTTGTTTGCTGTTTTTTGTAGTTTTGTTTAGATAAAGGTATGTAATATTCCCTCTTGTGTCAGAATGGCCTGATCAGCCAGGTTGTATTTTCCCCTTGTGTGTCACTTTGGTAGGTCAGTCAATTGATACTTATGTTGCTTGTGTTAAGTTTGGATTTGTTGACCAGATTGGGTCCAGATTTATGTTTAGAGTTCAGAAT